ATAAGAAACCTATCATTTAGTGTCTTTCAGCAAATTCCCTTCTTACCCTGAAATCGTGAAGATACTCTCCTACATCATTTTCTCAATGTGTTTTAGTTCCACCTGGAATTGATTTTTTTGAGAGACAAGGGTCCTGTTTCATTATTTTCCATGTAATACTCATTGTCCTAGCATCATTTATGGGTCAGCAATATCAGTTCGGTCATAAATCTGGTTTCTATATACGTAGCGGCTTGTTTCTAGGATCTTTATTTTATTCCATGAGTCTGTTTGTCCATCCCCCTGCCAAAAGAGTAGTGTCTTAATTCTTATGGCTTATAATAATTCTTGATATATGATGAGCTAACTCACTGTTTCGTTTTTCTTCTTTAGGAATATCTTGGCCATTTTAGCCTTTTGCACTTCCATATAAAATTTAGGTTCTGCCACTTGTTTTTTACATGTAGCATTTTATTGAGTACATTTTTGGAAACTGGGGGTCAGAGGTTTAAGAGACTTAATTCACAAAGTCTGGTTAGTCACATAAGCAAGAATCTGAACTGGGACCATAGTTGGACCTAGATCTCCAGCTCCTTGCCAGCATTTTTCCCACTGTGTTGTGAAATCTCATTCTTCCCTTAGTTAAGCCTGAGGATTGGTGATATTTGAAGAGGTTTATGCTATTTCCAAAACAAATTTTAACACTGAAGATTTATTTTCAAAATTTAAATTTAGCAGTGCAGACACATCTTTGGTACATGCTTCATGGTTTACTAGCATTGATATGATACACCCACACATAAGGTTTATTTTTAGGATAAAAAAAGAAATTGCACTTTCTAATCCTGCTGAGTAAACCTATGCATGGTAAATGCAGCATCACAACTATGTCTCCCTTCCGTGACAGAAGTGCTGCCACTACTACTGCTCACTCATGCATGCCATTCAGTTTCATTACCTTCCTGTAATTTCTAGTTTTCCCCAATTATGCCACTCATGATAAACTGTCACTAACCAATATTATTCTTTTAAAAACATTAATTTTTCTTTCTTCTTACAGGATGATTATGTACTTGAAGTGAGGCATTTTCAGTGCCCCAAATGGCCAAATCCAGATAGCCCCATTAGTAAAACTTTTGAACTTATAAGTATTATCAAAGAAGAAGCTGCCAACAGGGATGGACCCATGATTGTTCATGATGAGTAAGTTCCACATGTTAAATTGTTTCACGACTGAGCATTCTCTATGTGTATGTATATTTCTATTGTGTTCAGACTAACCTAAAGCTTTGGACCAAATGTGACGATTCAGCCATGGTGATTATCAGCTTCTTATCAACAAAGTTAACATAGAATATTATTTTTTCACTTCATTTGAAGCCCCTGTTGAAAGCTGAAGATGGAGTCGTGATCGTAGGAATCTGCTCTTGCATTTTATACTGAGAACACTTTGTGAGATGAGTTAGTGCTTGAGCGCTGGAATTTTACAGGAGCTAACCAGAGAGACATTTTTCAGTCATTCTCCTGGGACAAGGGTGAAATTGCTATGATTTTTATTTATCAGAAATAGGAATCTTTATCCAATAAATCTTTCCAGGCTTCTTTTATAAACAAATAAAAAATGCATATGCTAGAATTATATCCATATTATATATGATGCATAAGTGTGTGTGTATATATAATGACCCTGGTCAGATCATTTTTTATTTAATGTCAGCCCCTTTCATAGTATAAAAATAAGCAAATATTAAACTTATATAAAGCACACCATTATTAATATGAATACTTGGCAATGTTTCAAATTAAACCATAGTTTTAAGCATAAGACAGTAAAGAGAGATAATTAATTAAAGTTTTCACTGTTCTTACTGCAAAGTTGTCGAGGCTACTTGCTCTGTGAATTCCACATGTGAGCGTTTGCTGCATCTGATGGAATCTTTTTCCCTTTCCTTTGCTACAAGGCATGGAGGAGTGACCGCAGGAACTTTCTGTGCTCTGACAACCCTTATGCACCAACTGGAAAAAGAAAATTCCATGGATGTTTACCAGGTAGCCAAGATGATCAATTTGATGAGGCCAGGAGTCTTTGCTGACATTGTAAGTAATAAAGCAGTGAACCAAAATTTTCACTATTAGAAAAATTAGAAAATTTTCACTA